TGGGCTCCTGGGTCGGATGGGTGGGCCGTGGCGACGGGGGCTGGGCTCTCTTCATGTTTCCTCTCTAAACTCCTGGATCGGATGGGCAAAGGGGTTTACGGTTTAGGGTTTAGGGTTTAGGGTTTAGGGTTTAGGGTTTAGGGTTGGGCTGGGCTCCCATTCTGCTCCATTTGTTGCTTTCTGCTATGGGGGGTAGTTCTCTAAACTAGGGTCCATCTTGGGGTTTCTTTTATAAGGGTGCCGTACTATAGTGGGGACCTATTTCGGGACCCTTATTTAGAGAACTACCCATGGGTTTCTTGCTGTTCGTTCCTGTGTCGGCGAAGGGTCTCGGGCACACCTGGCTCCGATGGGTATGAGAAGCGATCGGATGAGCGATGGAGTTTTTAGCTTGATTCGATATGCATTCTGTTTGGGGTTTAGGGATTTAGGGTTTAGGGTTTAGGGTTTAGGGTTTAGGGATTTAGGTCTTCGCTGGTGTAATTTATAGTATGTTTGTTATACTATATTAAATTTCAGTTTATGATAGTGTATTGTAGTACTAGTTTTGATGCAGGTTTTGCTGGGTCCCGATTTGGGGAGATACCGGAACTTGGATTGCAGGAATGAGCTACAACCTACAGGGCAACCACTGGCGAACAAAGCCCTCCAAATGTTCCTGTTTTCATAGGTGCCCTCAAAAGTCTGGTGTTTTCCACAGTCGTACCAATCAAGATCCTTTCTGGATGATATGTAACCCTAAACCCTAAAACCTAAATTTATATATTTGTATATATGCTTCACAAGCACGTGGTTTATTCACAGTTTCCGCAACGCTTGCTTAATTTCGATCCTGGCTTCTGCGATTGTTTTTCGTATTGCAAGAAACTTGCAATGTGGAATACAGGAATGCTTAATGTAGGGGCCTTAATAATTACCTGTACCATTTTGAGGGTTCCTTAATTTTTTATAGTATAGTATACCCCAAAAACTTATTCTAATTATTGAAGCCCCTATATTATGTGGAATACAGAAATGCCTAGGTACTGCTGCACTACCATGGGTCCCACATAGTAGTATAGCTGGGCACTACTATTCCGTCATTACCCCTGTGATTCGAGGCAGTGTGTATTATTTAGCTTTTAGCAGCAAGTCCATGTGGTTGGGAGTGGTTAGAGTTAGCAAGAGCAGGACAATCCTTGAACCAAGCCATAACTTGCTTACTTGCCCGGAACGTTGTGGGCCCTTGAAGTCTAGGCTGCCTGCAGTGGGCTCCGTCGACACTGAAGGTACTTCTGAGAAATTGGACGTTTCGGGTGCTTTGGGATTCGAAGCCGCGGTGACCTGGGAGCCATGATCTAGACCCTATCTTAGGTTCAGGTCAGTCCCGGCAAGTCGGTTCAGGGTCAGAAGCTTCAATCACGGGGTTAGCCCACAACCCGAAGTTAAGGGTTTAGGGTTTAGGGCTTAAGGTTAGGGTTTAGGGTTTAGGGTTTAGGGTTTAGGGTCCCCCAAGCAAAATGCCCAGCGCAGTGACTTGAAATCGAGAACCTGCACCTCAAAGCTCAGCAGGACATGGGCCCACAAAAGGTCTTGCAGCACAAGCCAGCGAAGAAGCAGGCAGGACTGGATCCGGTCGTCAAGCACGCAATCCTGAGCCCACATCCCTACACCGACCCTAGGCCCTAAACCCTAAACCCTAAACCCTAAACCCTAAACCCTAAACCCTAAACCCTAAACCCTAAACCCTAAACCCTATAGCTTAAGCCTAACCCAGCAGGCCCTTCCCGAAACCCTGAACCCCCAACCCCATAAACCTCAGGTCTGGGGTTCAAGATGCAGGATGGGATGTCTCATGGGGGGTGGGGTGGGGTGGGGTCCTGGGCTGTGAGGCTTATTTGGGTAGTTGTCAAAATTATGGTCCCTTTTGGGGTACCCTAAATAATAGGTGCCGTATTATAATAAGGACCCAAAAAAGGACCATCATTTTGACAACCACCCATTTCTTTAGATTTGGGACAGGCTGATTTGGGATCATTGGCCCATCAAGAACCGGCCATGGCCTGCGGTTTCAACTGTGCTGGGTTCTGTGCTGAATCGTTGGGAGCGAGCAGGTTGAAGGACACGCTTGATCACAGTTAGTATCATAGCATCTCTGTTTCTCTGTATATTTATATTGCATTACTATATTATTCTGTATTATACTGTATTGTGTTGGATTATACCGGACTACAAAATGACATATCATGGCATAGCATAATATCAAATAGCAGAATATCATCCGTTATAGTCTATTCTCTTCTATACTATTGTTCTGTTCCATTCCTTTCTGTTCTGTTCTGTTCTGTTCTGTTCCATTCCATTCCATTCCATTCCATTCCATTCCATTCCATTCCATTCCATTCCATTCCATTCTATTCTTCTATTGTGTTGCGTGCTGTCGACACACATGTTTACAGATGCATATGGCTGACATATGTACTCGTACGTGCAAATAACGGTATATATATACATATAATATACACATGTAGATATACATACATGCATACATA